GAGAGACCAAGCCCCCCCTCCGCCTGTGCCACTGGCTGGCGGGGCACCCCCCTCGTCCAGCAGAAGGACCCACCTTGTTCATCAGGGTCTGGCCAAGGGCCCCTCCCTGGCTGCCTCCCCCCAACCCCCGACGGCTGGGAAGGGGGTTCCCTTGCGCACCTGCTCCAGGTGCTTTGCAATGGCAAATGAGCTAGCACCTGGAAAGGAATGGCTGCGGGCAGCTCTTCAGACATTTCACCCCGCAGTGTTTCTGCGGGGGCGGGGGCTCCTTTAGCTCACTTTCCACTCCCTGTGCGCACCTGCCTGGCGGCTCCAGCCCACAGAATCCCACAAGCGCCCCTGTCCCTGGCCAGCCTTGTTTCCAGCCCCGCAGCCTCCCTGGCCTCAGTGCCTCCTCTCCCCCTTCTCTCTCTCTCTCTCCCCCCTTCTCTTTCTCTCTCTCTCTCTCTGTCTCTCCCCCTCTTCTCTCTCTCTCAGACGGCCTCAGACGCTGGGCCCTGTGGCCTCCTCCCCGGCTCTCGGCTCTCGGCCTCCCCCAGAGCTGGAAGGTACTGGGCTCCTCAGTGTAAAGAACCCCCAGGTGAGCTTCTCAGCCAGGGCCCGGGCCTGCCGGTAGGTGGCTGTGCTGAGTGAGGGAAAATCTAAGGCGAGTCGCAGTTGTGTGTGTGTGTGTGTGTGTGTGTGTCTTCCCCCTGCGTACCCAGAACCCTTAGAAAACGGGACTAGGCCAAGGTGGGGGTCTCAGAACCCCCGGCAAGCATGCCTTCCAGCAGCGCAGGTGAGAGATGCCTGGGGCCGTCCGCTCTGGGGAGATGAGTGGGTGGCAGTCCTGGGTCTGCTGTGGCTTCGGTTGTTGGTTCACGTCTCGTTTGTTCGAGGGTCTTGAGGACGGAGCCTGATGAGCTCCTGCACGTGGGGACTCGGTGCAGGGACTCTTGGCGGGAGCAGCAGGCTAGGTGGCAGATGTCGCCTGATATCCCGGGTTTCCTGCAGTGCCTCTGGGGGTCCTCCTCCAGTTCTCCGCCCCTTGTCACCCACTCGAGGCAAGACTCGGAGAGAAGAAACTGAGTCACCCACTCAGGTGGAGCCAGCCCCCAGATCTGAGCGGCTGCGTTGCCCCATGGGCCACAGCTGGCCATCGGCAGAGCCCAGGCAGAGTGCAGCGAGGTGCTTCCGGAAAGCTGCAGGAAAGCTGCCGGGGGGATCTCCTCTCTGTGCCAGGCCGCTGGCGGGGCCGGGAGGGGCAGGACAAGAGAAGGCCGTTTCCTGCTGGCATCCTCGACTGGGCCGTCTGCGTGGAGCGGGCAGATGGCAAGTGGGGAGGACATGCCAAGGAGAGGTGGAGGCGACCTCGTCCAGTTGCTGGAGAAGAAAGGGTCACATGCCCCTGTGTGCCAGGCGCTGTGCTGGGCCTCAGTGACCGCTGGGGAGGGCAAGACCCCAACTATGCAAGCGCCATGGAGGAGCTCGGGGACCTAGCATCTTAACCAAGTGACCATCCACCTTGATGACTATAAAAGAGATTTGGCCGGGCGCAGTAGCTCACGCCTGTAATCCTAGCTCTGTGGGAAGCCGAGGCGGGTGGATCCTTTGAGCTCAGGAGTTCGAAACCAACCTGAGCAAGAGCGAGACCCCATCTCTATTATAAATAGAAAGAAATTAATTGGCCAACTAATGTATATAGAAAAAATTAGCCGGACATGGGGGCGCATGCCTGTAGTCCCAGCTACTCGGGAGGCTGAGGCAGCAGGATCGCTTGAGCCCAGGAGTTTGAGGTTGCTGTGAGCCAGGCTGATGCCACGGCACTCACTCTAGCCTGGGCAACAAAGTGAGATTCTGTCTCAAAAAAAAAAAAAAGAGATTTAGGACTGGTGGCAGCAAAGACCTTCTGCAAGGACTCTCTGTACTCAGGCTTTTGGGCTTCCAGGTGTGGTGAGGACAGAGGCTAGGGTGCTATGGCTGCCCTGATGGCCACAGTACCTCGGGAGCTCGCTTTGTTGGGACAAGCGGCTGATCAGCCCTCCCACAGGGCACCCTCCTGACATGAGCCGGGCATTTCAGGGACGAGGAGGGAGCAGTGACAGTGATCTCAAAGATCCAAGGCCCCGCCAGGCTCTCCAGGGGCACAAGAAGCAGGAGCTGCCCCAGGCTGAAGGGTCACCTGGACGTGGCATCTGCAGGGGAGAAGCGGAGAGAGGCCAGGCTTGGCCCCCGCAGCGCTGGGGTCTCTGGGCACACCTGCAACCCATTTGTGGTGAGGAAGCAGGCCTGACCCCCTTTGGGAATTTCCAAAACCAGAGAAAAACTACATATTAAAAATGCCAAGGGAGGGAGGAAAAGCAAGGGGGGGATGGGGAGCAAAGGGAATCTTTTTGTGAATTTTTAAAAAGAAGCAAATGTGGGTATTTTGGGCAACTACTTGGAACATTTCAAAAGATACAGTAAATGCTTAAAACCGCAGAGCGAAAAGTGCCCCAGGCACCGTCACCTGGCCGTGATGGATGGATGGCACATGGAGTGGCCATGTGAGAGCTTCCGGGCTGGGTGGCCTGGGGTTGGGGGCTGCAGGACAGGGAGGTGGCTTGCTGTCAACCTGTCTACCCAGGCCAGGGTGGTGGTCCCTGTCCTTGCTTCCTGCCGAGTTCAGACTTTGGCAAGGGGTGGTGCACATCTCTGCTTCCTTTCTCTGTGCCTCTTGGATGCTCAGGATGGGAATTTTGCAGCCCCTCTAGTGGCACAAGTGGCTTTTTTTTTTAAAACAGGGTTTCCCTCTGTCACCCAGGCTGGAGTGCAGTGGTGTGATCATAGCTTACCCTCAAAATCCTGAGCTCAAGCGATCCTCCTGCCTCAGCCTCCCAAGTGCTTGGGACTACAGGTGCGAGCCACGGCACCTGGCACAAGTGGCTCTTTGATGGGGCTGGATGGCCTGGCTGCAGGACAGTTCTGACTTGGGATTTTCAGGGGACACTGGTCATTTTGGGCAACACAGTGCACATCTTTGATATCTGCTTCCTTACAGGGTCCTCGGGGTGATAAAGCAAGGGTGGGAACCCGGATCTCTAGTTAAAGAACCAGACCTTGGCAGGAAAACATCTGCCGCATCCCCATCGAGTGCTTGAATGCTCCCGGTGACAGAGAGCTCACTGCCTGTTTCCTTCGCTGGCCCCGTTTCTCTTCCCTGACCTTCAGTTTTCCCTTTACAGTTGGACCCACTCCCCTGTCACTGGCCACAGAGAGTGGACTGGACACAGACCCACCCGGAACAGAAAGGAAGTGGAAAAGCCCACGCTCCAGAGCCCTTCTCTCCAAGGAGGGCCTGAGCATGAGGGCCTTGGCTGGAGCTTTTGCCCAGGGAGCCGATCAGGGGCAGGCACCCCCACCTCATTCCCTCATTCCCCCACCCGGTCAGGCCCAGAGAGTCCCTGCCGTGTGGATAGCCACTTGGGGCAGGTTCCTAAACCATGAAAAATCCCTCTTTCCCTAACCTCCAACGAGTTTAATCTCTCCTAATCAATTTAGCAGACTCGCTTGGTTGTAAACGGTAATGATTTGCATTTTGGAGCCTTTTCATCCCTCTTTAGGAAAAAAAAAATGCCCTTCTCTGCATTCAGGAAGGCCCGTGCACACGGGCTGTGGATTGCTTGTGGGTGCACCCTGGCTCCCGTCCAGGGGCAGGCGGTGCCATCGTCACCTGTGCGGATCAAGTGTGAGGACACGAGGGTGTGTGGACGCCCACAGCGCTCTGCTGGTGGGCTGGCTGCCAGCGCGGCTGGCCCCTGGGGGCACAGGCCACCGCGCCCCTTACCTTGGGGACTGCCAGGCTCTACCCGCTGACTCCCTAGCCACTCGTTCCCCGTCTGCTGCATCCACTTTTCCTTGTTGTATTTCGCATGGGCAAGAGGCTCCGAAGCCCTGTCCTCTCTGGCACGTGCAGCCGGAAGCAGATTTCCGGATCGGGTTAGCTTTGGGGCTTGAGCTACCGCTGGAGGGGGCTGTCCTGAATGTGCCTCTGACTTCTGCTCCTTCCCCTCCTTTCCTCGGTCTAGCTTCTGGGCCAGCCCCTCAGACCTTGCAGGGCTCCCTTGCCTGCCTTGGACCAACTAGAACCTTCCAGAACAGCAGACGGGAGGGGCCCCACCTGGCCTCTGGAGCACACAGCTTTCCTGAGTGACTCTAGACCAGGCGTCCTCAAACTACGGCCCGCGGGCCACATGCGGGTGTTTTTGCCCATTTGTTTTTTTTTACTTCAAAATAAGATATGTGCAGTGTGCATAGGTATTTGTTCATAGTTTTTTTGAAACTACAGTCTAGCCCTCCAACGGTCTGAGGGACAGTGAACTGGCCCCCTGTTTAAAAAGTTTGAGGACCCCTGCTCTAGACCCTGCCTTGGAGCACTGCCACTTTATAGAAGGGGAAACAGAGGCAGTGCACTCACAGACACACTTTCTCTGCACCTGTCTGGAAACACCTCCGAGCCCCTCCTCAGCTCTCTGCCGATCTGGGCGGGAGCCCTTCCTAGACCCCCGGGGGAAGGAGGACAGCCCAGTACCCTCGTGAGGGAGAAGAGGCTTCAGGAAAGGAAGGTTGGCCCCTTCCCTGGCCGCTGCCATCTTCCCAGGGGCCGTCCCCTCCCCTGCCAGCATCACCCAGAGCAGGGAAGGAGCCAGGGGTGTCCCAGCTCCTGCTCCAGACCTGGCAGCCCGGCCCTGGGTGGGGGAGGCCCTCCCCCGGGGCACCATGCTAACGTGGGGGTGGTCCAGGAAACCCGAGCATGGGAGGCTGAGGGAAGGGGAAGGAGAAAGGGAAGAAAAGCAGCTTTTGATGCACATCATGTCTGCAGAATTGAGTATGACTAATTAATAGATTTTATTCTTAGTAATCTCTTAAGCATTCCATACGTTGGGCCCCATGCCTGAGCTGAGCTTACAAGAGGCCTCATTCGCAAAATGCAAATGACTCGCCGCCCTGCCATCTTCTTTCCTTCCTTGCCTTTTCCTTCCTTTTTTTTTTTTTTTTGTAAGGGGAAATTTAAAGGAAAATTGCCATGTAATAGAAAAGAGATTCCAATCACTACATCTAATTACCATGAAAGGTAAACCACTTAACCAAAGGAGTGTCGTGGGCCTTTTCCTTTTACAACTCTAAACCTGCCTTAAACGCCACAGAATACACTCATCAACACGGAGGCCACTGAGGGGGTTCTGGCTGGTTAGAGGCTGTGAGGGTCAGCTTAGCAGCGAAGCTCCCCTTAGGAGTGTCAGCCTCGCCCAGGAGGGAGACTTTACACAGGCGCCAGGTGGCATGCTAGGCCCTGTGTCCTCACGCACATGTAAGGGGCGGGAGGCCGGGTGTCCTGGAGCATCTTGTGTTACGGGGCCAGCTGGGAGGAGCTGGACAGCGGGGTGGTGAAGGGGGGGGCCCTGGATGTAGGCCCTGCCCCCTAGCTTGGGGGTCTGTGATACAGCAGACATTTAGGGGTTACTCTCAGAAAGTCCCCTGGAAAGCATGGGGATGGGAAGGCCTGGAAGGGTGGGGAAGCCGTTCTCAGACCCCAGCCCCATGGCCCTGGCTGGGTGGAGCGTCCACCCTTGTGGGCACCTGGAGCTCCAGGGAACAGGGGTGGCTGGGCTCTCCGGTGAGATGGGCCGAGCCCTGTTAGTACCAGGAGCAGGAGACAACGGGGTCCTCAGGCCCAGCAGGCTCCTCTGGGCGGCTGGCAGGGCTCTTGCGGGCCTGGCCTGCTCTGTGGTGGGGGAGGGACATTCATCACCCGGGCCTGGCCTTGGAGAGCGTGGCTAGGCCGGGGCTGGTCTCGGCTCTGCTCTGCCTTCCTGCGCTAGGTCCTCCGCACACCTGCCCCACCCAAGCCGGGCCTTCCCGGGCAGCTCTCATGGTCTAGGCCACCTGCTGTCCCCATATTCCTTCTTAGCGACCAAAGGGCATGATCTGACCTCCTACCTGGGGTGGGGAAAGGAGAGAGGGGGACCTGGCTGAGGCGGGGACGGAGCTTGCTGGCAGTGCTATGCCAGGGATTTGGGTAGCTAGCTCTTCAGCCATCCCAGGAGGGCCCCTGTTCCTTCCTGGACTGCTAGGAACGGGCTGTGTCGGGGTGGGGGGGTGGGGGAGTGCCTGCGGCCCACAGCAAGGACCTGAAATTAAGGCTTGGGAAATTTTCTCTCTTCGACCTCATTGTATGAGAAGACGATTCAGGCAGAGAAAGGAAACAAAGGTCTAGTTTGGAATGAAACGTGTGCACGCGCCTTGGCGGCTCGGTGGGGCTGGAGAGCGGGGGCTCGGTTGGTGGGACAGGCCCGGGTGGGGCTGTCTCGTCTCTCTCCACTTCCCCGCTGCATCGCTTGGCCCAGCCCCACCTCCTCGCTGAAGGGCCGGTCGGACCCTTTCATGCCACCACTGCCCAGCCTCCTCTTCTGCCTCTGCTTTTGTCCGAGTGGCGGAGGCCTTTTGAAAACACCACCGCCAGGGACGGGGCCCTCTCATCCTCCTGCCCTCAGACCAGCGGCTCCGCTCCAACCGCGCTTTTCCCCGGCGCAGGACACGCGGCGCGTGCTGACAGACAGTGACCCGAGCTCCCCGAGCGCTGGGACGCAGGCACTGTCAGAACCCCAGGCTCCGCTCCTCTCCCCTTTCCAGAGTCGCGGCTATTATTTCATCGTGGCTTTAATCTCCTGGCCCACGACACTGCACTGTCGGCTGATAAGTGATAGCCACGTTGATTCCAGAGGGAGGAAATGAAACCTTAACTCCCCGAGGGCCAGGTCAGTGCCCTTCCGGAGGCCGGCATTTTTAGAAGGAGATCTGGTCCCTCCCTCCCAAATGCAGAGTCCCAGGGCTAGGCACGGGGGGAGGGGTTGCTGTCACCCAGGGCTTTCCTGATAATTTTCTTGTCTTTTTGGGGGGCTTTGTTTGAGCAGCCATGGAAACCAATTGGTTTAATCAGCTGATATTAAAGAGAAAAACCCATTTCTGCACTAATTACGTGTCCCAGGAGGAAGCGCGTAGAACATACTAAGTGCTCAGACAGTGCTGTTAAGGTGATTGCGTCTGGGGGCAGAGCGGGGAGGGAGACGGGGGTGCTGGCAAGCTGAGATAGGACGGAACTGAAGGCGGCCCTTGCCCTGCCCCTCCCGAAGCCACCGGTCTGGGACCCACATGCCTCGGCCTTTAGGAGCAGCCATGTGCCCGGGAGACTGTGTCTCCACCCTCCGCCTCACTCCCATGCCCAGCACCTTGTCTACTTACGCAATGATTCCCAGGAGAAAGTAATGTTTTTTTTTGCGAATCTATTGTCTCAGGGAATGGAAAGAACTGACCCAAGAAGTATGGTAAGGACCGAGTGTCGGCTCTGTCTACCTGTCTGTAAAACTCAGAGACGCCACCCAGCCAGCGACAGGCGGACAGCTGCACCTCCAGGTGGCTTCCAGCTCGGCTCCTGCGGAGTACGTTGCCCGGAACCGAGGAGGGTTTCAGCATAGGGAGAAAAAGAGTTTGGTGTTTTTTTGTTTTTGTTTTTGTTTTTTTTAATTGACTACATGATTGTTCAAAGAACGCAGTGAAAGACGCCATGTTTCTGCAAATCTGTAAGGGAAGTGGTACGGAACAAACCAGGGAAGAGATTTCAGGACAATATCTCCGTAGCAGAAGATCTTTTCTTCCCCTCTCCTTTGTGAGGAGCCTGTAAACCCTCCGTCGCGGAGGAGCCGGCGAGCCGGGCGGCGGGAGGGCTGCGCGGGGGCTGGGCGTGGCGGCGGCTTCTCCCGACGTTCCTTTGTGGCGGCCCTGAACAGAGCGTGAGGTGCACACGGACGTTGTACAGGTAGTGTCTTTCCAGTTCAGGAAAAAAAAAAAGAAAAAACACCCTTCCTGCGATATTATTTTTAGTCCTTCCCTCCCCAGCTGGCATCACTGGGGATAAATTATGTCTTCAACAACGTCAAATCTCCCTCCTTCCTGCCTTCTCTTCTTTAAAAAAAAAAATTTTTTTTTTCCCCACTGTTGTGTTCTACAAAATCGTCGTCAACCCTCCCCAGATTTCGCTTTCTGCCGGGAAGGTCATCGGTGGAGTTTCTTTTCCTTGCTCTCTGGGGTTGCAGCAGGCTGGGCAAAGCCGCGTGGCCGCACCAGGACGGCGGGGGCTGGGGCGGGGGCTGGGGCGGGCCCGGCGGCATCACGTGTAGGAGTAGTCTATGTCGGGGATGCCGCCATCCCGGTAGCCCCGCGTGGTGCCGTAGCCGATGGTGTGCGTGCCCTTGCAGAGGCCGCTGCCGTTGGAGGGGAAGATGGTGTGGACTACGTACTCCTCTTTGGCGCGGTACGGGTTGATGGGCAGCATCTGCAGCCCGGGGCCGCGGATTTCCAGGATGGAATTATCCTTCTTGGTCCCCGACTCCATATAGTCGTCCTTTTTCCTGCTGCCCCGGTTGTAGGCCCTGTCCCCGGTCAGCAGCTCGCCAGCCTGGTGCACGTACCAGCAGATGGCCCCCAGGACCAGGAAGAGAAAGACGAGAGCCACGGCGCCACCAATGATGCCCGCCAGGGGCAGCCCCGCCATGGGGCCGGCGTTCTGCTCCTGGTTGAGCATGGTGGTGGGGCCGTAGCTGTCGGCCGTCTCTGCCTTGGCGCACACGGGCGTCTCGTCGGCCACGTAGGTGTTGCCGGTCTCCATGGTGACCATGCAGATGACATAGGTGGACTTGGGCTCCAGGGCCGTCAGCAGGTACTCCGTCTTGTCCCCCTGCACCAGGGTCTCCGTGATGGAGCCCACGGCCGGGCTGTGGCCCAGGCGCAGCCAGCTGAGCCGGAAGGAGGAGGCGGGGAGCGAGGCCTTCCACGTGATGCGGATGGAGTCTGCCGTCAGGGGCTTCACGTGGATGACCAGGGTCTTTGCGCCGTCACCCGTGGCCATGGGGTAGTCAATGTTGGAGTCGGGGAGGCGCAGCCCCGGCCTCTTGGCTTTGAGCGTGAACAGCGAGCCCTGGGGCGTGGTGGCGGAGGCGTGGTTGCTGGCCGTGGTCTTGGCGGCTGCATTGGCCGCGCCGCCCTGCGACCCCGTCTCAAAGCACTCGTCCATCTCGCTGGTGATGTCCTTGATGGCCATGCCCCGCACCTTCTCGGGGCCCTGGCACATGAGGCCCCGCACGTTGACCACGGCCGCCCGCGCCTTCACCCAGTCCCGCAGCCACATGAGGTTACAGCCACAGAACCAGGGGTTGTTCCTGAGCAGCAGCTGGGCCAGGTTGCCCAGGTCGTCGAACAGGCCGCGGGGCAGTGTGGTCAGGTTGTTGTTGGACAGGTCCAGCCGCTCCAGCTCGCGCATCTTGGCCAGCGTGTTGTAGGGGATGTGGCTGATGGCGTTGTCCTGCAGGTAGAGCTTCTGCAGGTGGGCGCTGGGCAGGTTGAGGGGCGGGGCGGCCAGCGAGTTGCGCACCAGGGAGAGCTCCGTGAGGTTCTGCAGGCGGCTGAAGGTGTCGTCCGCGATGCGCTGGTTGGCCAGCAGGTTGCCGTCCAGCACCAGGCGCCGCAGGCTGTTGAGGCCCTTGAAGGCGTGCAGCGGGATGGTGGAGATGCGGTTGTCGTCCAGCCGCAGCTCCTCCAGCGTGCGGGGCAGCCCCGAGGGGATGCTGCTCAGGTGGTTCCGGCTCAGGAAGAGCAGCTTGAGCTGCTTGCTGTCGGCGAAGGCGTCCTCCTCGATGCTGACGGTGGACACGGAGTTGTCATCCAGGTGCAGCTTCTCCAGCAGCGGGATGCGGGCCAGCGAGTCCCTGGCGATGGTGCGCACGTTGTTGTCCTGCAGGTGCAGCTCCCGCAGGGAACGGGGCAGGTTGATGGGGAACTCGTCCAGGTCGTTCTCGTACAGGTAGATGACCTGCACGTTGACCTTGGTCTTGAGGTCCTGGGGGATGCCCGCGTTGTTGATCTGGTTGTTCTGCAGGTAGAGGGTGGTGGCATCGTCGGGGATGTCGGCGGGGATGGAGGTGAGCCCCCGGTCGTTGCAGTAGATGAAGCCGTTGTCGCAGCGGCACACAGAGGGGCAGGTGGTGCTGTCGATGACCTCCGTCAGGAAGGCGATGAGCCCGTAGCAGAGGAACAGCCAGTCCCGCAGGTCCATGGTGGCCGTGGTCATCACAACGGTGGCCGTGACGGTGGCAGCGGGCGTGGTGGTGGCAGTGGCAGTGGGGTGTGCCACCACCATGGTGGATGACTGGGGGAGCCCGGCCCCACCTGACCTGGAGCCTTGACACCTGCAGGGAGCACAAGACAGGTGCAGTGAGAGTGGGACAGCCACAGCGGCGCAAGGAAGGGGCTGCGCACCCACCAGCCTGCTGCCTGGGGGTGGCCGACCGCAGCTGGGTCCTGCAGGCCCAGGTGAGCTGTGGGGCACGGCCCTTTTCGTGCCAAGTTTGCGCCACAGGTGATCGCCCCGGCTAGGTCTGACGCTAACGGCATCTGGCAACCACTAAACCTCTTTAACAGACGCTGCCTGTTAATGAGACGGACGCTGCCTCCGCCCTCCTGGAGCGTATCGGGGGCTGGGGGTTGATGGAGCGAGAGCCACGCTGCAGTTCTGCTTTCTTCTCTCAAGATTTCACACTAAGCCATCTCTACGGCCAATGCTAACGGTGCCGGTCAGTGTTGATGGGCGTGTTTTATGGATTCAGAGCCGCCACTTCCCACTGGCACAGGGAGCATGCCTCGCTCTCTGGCTCGGACCCGGGGTTCGGAGGGAAAGCTTGTTTCTGGGAGGCCTGGGAGCTCAGAACGGGGGCGTCACCAGAGCTGGTGAGCAGGAAGCTGCCAGCGCCATCACCGGTGAGCAGCGGAGAGCACCGAGCCTCATTGTCTGGTGTTAAAACAACACGTCCTGTTTGTCACTCGTACATTTTACAGACAGAAGAGTAAGGTGTCGACAGAGCCGCTTTCTCGTGTATTTACAGAAACCTCTTTTCATCAGAGGAGCCTCCCGAGCTCTGTGTTCTGTAGGAAATTGTCCCACACCTTGCCCCCTTCTGAAATCATAAACTTTCAGCTATCATAGGAAAAAAAAAAAAAGCTATCTGTGTTCTTGCATCTAAAGAAATGAGACAAATAAAAGGCGGGAGGTGTTCGCGCTCTGAGGGAATTGTCTGCAAGGTGTAATTTCGGTTTTCACAAATGGAAAAATTGCAGCATGGATTTTTTCTTATATTATTTTACTCTTCATAGTGGTAAAAAAATCAATTAAAGAGAAATTATCTTTCAACCTCAGTGGGAAAGGTGTCTTCATGTGGCTGGCAGATGTCTACTGTGAACTCTGGACTCATGACGGCTTCTCAATGTGGGACACGTGGCCCCTCGGAGCCTGAGCCCCGGCCTGGGACAGCAGCGCTGGTGTGTGGAGCAGAGCCGGCACCTGCTCAGGGGGTTGGGGACCTCACTCCCGCGCCCCAGGGACCCAGCCAGGCCAGACCTCTCTCTTCTCCGTCCCTCCGTCCCCTGGCTGCTCCTCTCAGGGATCAAAGTGCTCCTCACCCTTCAGGACCCAGCTCAAATGTCATCCCCCCTGCAGGTCTTCCTGGTGCTCCCAATAGAGCCTCCCTCTGCTCTGCCCGTCCTCCAGCCGTGCGTCTGTCCGTCCATGTGTGCACCCATCCAGCAGATCTTTACCGAGCATCTACTGTGCGCGCCTGGCTGGTGCAGGCCAGAATCTTGGCCACCACTAGGCTTGCAGCGTTCTGGGGGCTGCCTGGTGACCAAGCCACGTGGGTGACCTTGGGTGACCACCCAAGGACGGGACAGCCCCACCTCGGCGAGTGCCCCTGCTGTCACCCTGCGTGTTCAACACTCCCGTGCGATCAGGGGCCTTCCCTCAGTCTGCCCAGCCGCCCCAGGGCCTTCTAGAGCTCCCGCGTCACCCACCCCACTCAGGCCTGCTGGCAGCATGAAGCTCTGTCCCCGAGGTGGATCCAGGGCAGGGCGGGGGCCAGCCAAGGACACCCCAGCTGGACACGCTTGAGACTGCGGGGGAAGGTGCCGGGCCTGCCCACCGAGCAGGAGGGAAGAAAGCGGGGAACGGGGGAGCCAGGGAAAGGGGGGCTGGTGAGGCGGTCCCCAGCACCAAAGTGGGGAGCCAGCTTGAGCCCCTCACCCCAGCGCTGACTGGCCTGGGGGCTGCGGACACCTGCCTGCATATTCCGAATAGCTTGGAGAGCTCGGCCCGCCCAGGCTAGTGGCTGCCACACCACTGACCCTCAGCCCTCAGCCCCTTGGACAGGCGTGGGGGTGGCCTTCGCTTCCAGCTCTCTCCCTGTCTTTGTTTCCTTGGTGACTCCTACCTGAGGCCCTGCCCCCCACCTCTGCACCCTGCTCTCCAGCCCCTCCCCTGGCAGTCCCCTGGAGAAATTCCCCCACACACAGCCCTCCATTGACAGCAGCAGCCAGGAACACCCCGCCCTGGCGCCCCTGGGCCTTTGCACATGCGGATCCCTTCATCCCCAACACTCACCCCAGATGCACCTGCTCATTCCTCCCCTCCTCCAGGTGAGGCCTTTCCTGGCCACCCCGTCAGAAATTACAACCCCCAGAAAATGCCTCCCCGCCACTCCCCGCTTACCTGTAGTAGCTACCACCAACTAACTAACGGGCCATATATTTTACTTTCTTTTTGTTGTCTGTGTCCCCACTAGAAGCTCTATAAGGGTGGGAAAGGGGGGGTTGTGTGTCTTACTCAATGGTTTGTCCCTCGGGGCCCAGCCCAGTGGTTGATACATAGCAGATGTTTGCTAACTATTTCAAAGGAGAAACTATTATTGACCCATTCTGTGGATGAGGAAACTGAGGTGCAGAGAGGTCCCCTGGCAAGAGGTGTTGGAGTCTGGATTTGCCCCACAGCTCAGTGCTTGACCACTGCGAGTCCCCAGCCCACCTGGGCCTGACCTGGGGCCGGGGCTGAGGGTTCTCAGACTTCGCTGAGGTGCCCACAAGCCTCCTGCCCTGCCTAGCCCGGGGCTGTCAGCAGAGTGGATGCCTTCGGAGGGCAGGATAAACCCAAGCGCTGGCCGAACCCTCGGCTGGGCCTGGCCCGGCGCCCTCCCCCGACATCATGCTGAGGCCCGCCCAGGGCGTGAACCTGTGGCTGGCCGCCACACCCACAGGTCCTCAGCCCCCGTTTTGCAGCTGAGCCCCCGAGGCTCAGGGAGGTGAGGGGCTCGTCCAGGGTCACAGCCAGCCCAGCTTTCCAGCTGCAGCTCTGTCCCTTCTGCACGGAACCACTCACGAAGCTGTGGAGCCTGGAGGTCCCGTCTCCTGCTCACGAGCGGAAAGGCGAGGCGGGTGCCGGCGACAGGGAGGCACAGGCCTGTCCAAAGACCGCCTTGCCTCAGGCTCTGGGGTCCAGTCTGAGCCCAGGACACCCCTGCCCAGGGCCCCCCGCATCTGGCCAGAGGACACACACCCTCCCTGGTCTGTCGGCTGCTCAGACCTGGCACAAGGGACACGGGTGGCCTCTGTGCTCAGCCGTTCTGGGGCCGTGCCCTGAGCAGGGAGAAGGCTTGTGAAGGCCGAAGCCACGGCCAGCCACCGCACTCTCTGGCGAGGACATCTGTTCCCAGCGTCAGCCCTGCTCACGGCCACAGTCTTTAGCCTCCAGAGGCCCCTAGCATCATAATAGAGTCTAAATTGCACCTTTCAGAGATGCTTGATGGATAACCAAGAAGCGTTTGGGAGGCAGGGACCCAAGGCCTTTCCTGCAGGCCTCATCCATCTCGGCCGAGGCCCCAGCCGCCCCTTCCCCAAGGCCACGGGAGGCACGCGCGGGACCTGAGGTCGGGAGGAGGACAGCATGCCTCGCTGGAGGGGCCTTTAATCGCCTGGGTGCCTGGCTGCCCTTTTATTCCCTCGTCTGTTCGGCAGTTTATGTGGCCATCAAATTAAGCCTGGTAAATCGCCCATCTTTTACAGGATCGCTTGTCGTCATCGCATGGGTCCCTCAGATTCCGGCGCGGTGTGACTTACGACCGGCCGGCTGTGACTGACAGCAGGATCCTAGGCTGGCCACGGGGTGGGGAGGGGATCGTCAGGATGGCTCCTGCTGGAGGATCCAGGACCCCCCTTTGTGGAGGCATTCCTCTATCAGTGGCTGGCTACTGCCACCTTCCAGGACAAAGGAGCCTGACCTGGAGTCCTGCCTCTGCCACTTCCAGGCTGTGTGATTTTGAGCCAGTTGCTTGCCCTCTCTGAGCTTCAGTTTCCTCATCATAACAGTGGCCCGTACATGGGAACCTGGGCAAAGTACCCCTCCTGAGGGTGTCCAGCTTAAAAGCTGCTGAGGCTCTGATTGCCCCAGGCACACAGGCTAGCTTCAGTCCGCTCTCCTGGCCCCTTCCTCACCCTCTGCTGCTGCTGTGCCTCCTGGGTAGACTGACTCGCTATCAGCCTGTGATGCTGAGATGTCCCCACCCCCACCGACTGTGCAGGTCAGCCCTCCCCTCCCCACAAGCTGTGACAGCAGCAGTCTCTGCCTCTGGGCCATCAACACCAGCCCCCTCACCACCCACCTCGTGGCCCCAGAGAGGGGAGAGGGGTGGGGAGGGGCCCACAGCCAGCTCTCACCTTGCACCCCCAGAGCCCTACATGCCACCGGTTCCTGAAGCCACTGCGCCACCTGAGCTGCCTCTGGGCACAGCACACCCCCCATTCCTGCCCCACCAGGCCGGATACTGCTCCTCCCTCCGGCCTCGTGTAGAGGCCGCTCCCTGAGCCTCCGCGGCTGTGGGCGCGGCTCCCACACCGCCCAGCTAGAAGCAGGAGGTGCTGAGCAACATCTGCAAACACCTGCCAGCTGGGGGGTGCCTCCCTGTTGGGGACCCCTGGCCTCCCAGTGCTCTGCCCTGCTGTGTCCCCCAAATCCCACCAAGTTGGGGCTGGCAGAGGCCCAGGGCCCTCTGGGGTGTCCTCCTGGGGGAGTCGCAGGGAGGATGACATGCAGAGGACAGCTGTGGGACCCAGGCCTGTCGCAGGCCCTGGCACGCTGTGTGTGGGTTGGCATCTACTGTGTTGGGGGCACAGCTGAACACGAGCGTGCCGGGCTGGGCGGGGGTGGGGCACATTTCTGAAGGAAGCCAGGCTGGGCAGGAGTTGGGGGTCCCAGGCAGGAGAGGGAAGGCTGGGCGGGCCTCCCTGCCTCCCGGCCCCAGCTCTCCTTCTCGTGTGTCACGCAAAGGCTGACATGGGGACGTCCTGATGCTGGGTGCCCTGGGGGGCCAGGCAGTCCCAGCCCCTCCTTGAGGAAGCAGGGGGTTCCAGGTGGGCCCCGGCCCCAGAAGGAGGCGTTGGACTGCAAGGCTGAGAGGCCAGCAGGGCTGGGCTCACTGATGGCCTCCCGGGCCCCAGCGGTGCGGCCTGTGGTGATGCCTCTCTAGGCCTCAGTTTCCTCACCTGTGGCATGTTGACAGGATCCCCTTTCCTGGGAGGAGGACGACAGGGAGGGGCTGTGCAGGGTGCTCAGCACAGGCCCCGGGTGGTTTTAGAAAGGAGAGCTGCCCTTACCCTGTCCCCAGGAGGGACCCCAAAGCCCTCCTAAAAGCCCCCTGGGGCAGCTGCCCACTCTTCTTGGCTGAGCCTTCAGAAGGAGGCAAGGCTGGAAATAGGGTGGAGGACGGAGTCACCCTGCCCCTGAGTGAGGTCCCTTCCTGAGCCCACAGCTGCCCACTGGCCAGGCCCTTCCCGGCACCGAAAGGGGGACTTGGTGCAAAAGAGGAGCTTGAGTCTTGGGTGTGGGTGTGGTTTCTCCAGACCCTAGTTTGGGCAGATGCCCCAGGGGCTGCAAGCCCACCACAGGCACCTCCTTTGGGCAGAGGCTGGATGCCATGACCCTCAAGGACCTTCTAACCCCAGCTTTGGTGGGGTGTGTGGGAGGGGGGTAGTGCCAGCCAGTCACACCCATCACCCAACCAACTTTGCTCCCGGATCTTGTCCACTGGTGTCATTCAGAACCTGTAATGCACAGAGGATGGGGGGTGGGGATTCTTTTAAAACCTAAAGTTAATTATTTTTCTAATTTCATGCTGCATGCATTATGCATCAGCTGTTATCACTGGCAGTAATTGCAGACAGGTATGCAAATCCACTATAAATGCACCGCGAGTTCACCTAACCGCGTAGGCCGTCTGGGCGGTGCCGGTGCCAGGCGGCGGGATGTCCTGAACTTGAGAGAATGTAAATCGCTTTAAAAAACAAGACTTTAAAATTGTGTCTTAGGAGGTTAATTATATTGATAACAGTGTTCGATATTAAACTGTTCAGGGCCAGGAGGGGGGGATGAAAGGAGACGCATGTAATTTTGTGCCTCTCTCTCGGCATTATTTAATAAGACGCTCCTGCACCTGGTATTTCTGTCTGTGTCCATTTTTAGTAAAGCTGCCTAGACTGAGACTTTAATTCCTTTTGGGAAGGAAAAGAGAAAGCGCAGTGGAATTCCAGAAGGAAGGAGACGGGCCTAAGGGCCTTTATTTTAGGGTGCCGGGGAAAAGAGAGAGAGAGACAATCCCCAAGAACATGGCCCGGCTGTGAGGTCTGGGCTGCGGGGTCTGCAGTAGCCAGCGGGATCCCGAGCTGCCGCAAGGGGCCGAGAGAGGAGCAGGTGGCTGGGAAAGGCTGGGCCGGTGGTGGCGATGCTCACTGATCACACATCAGAGGCCTGGCGCTGGGCCCGGCAGGGGTGAGCGTCCCTCACGAGCAGGGAGGCAGGCCCTGCTGTCCGCGGGACCCCTATTTACCCATCACCAGCTTAGGGATTGCCTGACTCCTCCTGCTGGAACGTAAGCACGTAGGTCGGGATACGGGCGGTCCTGTGCCTGGCACGGAGCCTGGCACAGAGGTGCTCAGTAAACACCTGTCAAACGAGTGGGTGAATGAATGCATGAATGAAGGTGCCACGAGGGAGGCCCCGGAATCTGAACCCAGGACTGGGCAGTGGGAGAGAAGAGGGCGGCTGGCCCTCCTTCAGCCCCACCCAAGGAGTCATAATGACCCAGTGTCCACACCACCGTGGCCCAGAGCAGCAGAGGGACTGGCCTGGTTGTGCAGCAGTGGGTGGAGAGGCCACACGCAAACTCAGGCCTTGGACTCGCCGTCCGGTGCTCTTCCCCTGCCAGGTCTCTCACTGCCCCTCTCAGCTTCCCAGCGGGGCCTCCCCAGCCCCAGAGGGAGACTCCTGGCTGTCCAGGCTTGTCCCCTGACACAGGGTGGCCAGCCTGGCACTGCCCAGCTACAGGTCTGTCTGGCCCCTTCCCTCTCGCCGCACAGATGCACACAAGGGTGGAACCTGCCCCTCTGGGCCCTGGAATGGGGAGGTCGAGGACCTCAGAGATTGTCTGCTTTTTACAGACAAGGGAAAGCTAAGGTCCAGAGCCTGGAAGGGACAGGTCCAGGGCAAAGACACAGCCCTTTGGCAGCCAAAGACCACCCTCCAATACCCACCTCCTGGGGCCTCGCCACCAAGCTCTCAAACCCTTCCCAGGGGCTTGGTGTGGCGAAGATGAAGGTGGATAGTGTCCCAAGTCACGCAGGGTCTGGGGGGTGGCTGCTTTCCCCTACCAGCAGATCTGCAGCCCCTCAGCCCTGTGTGGTCACACCCGTGGGCATCAGCACTAGCGGGCAGGGCCTGAGGCCTGCTATGTGCCGGGCCCTTCACAAAATCCTCTCCTTCCTGCGGTGGCAGCAACAGGGCCTGTGTCCCCAGTGCACCAAGTGGAGGCACACTCCTGGAGCAGAAGGAACCTGCCCAAGGTCACTGGCTCACACCTGAGGGCCCCGGCCCAACCCAGGCTGTCAGGCCCACAGCTGCTTTCCCTTTTTGCAGGGAGCCTGTGCAGGGCCCGCCCTGGAGATTCTCCGTAAATACCTGGGGCAGTAGCTGCTCCCCACCAGCTTGACTTCGGCCCAGAAATCACCCCCAAGCCCACCTAGGGACTGCAAGGACAGTAGAGACCCTGCTGGCAGAGGGGAAGGGCTGCTGGGACCCAACTCGGGCTCAGGCAGCTCGTGGCGCCTCGCGGCCCCGCTGCCGGGCTGGCTCGCCTTTATAATAAATAACCGCAAATAGCCCATCCGCAGGGCATCTTTCACGCCGGTGGCTAATAACACGGCTATTAATGCCCCCGCAGACGGCGTGCGCGCTGCGCCGTGCTGACGGATGTCCTGGGCTCTGGCGCAATCATAAATCAGCCCCTCTCCCGAGGAAGAGCGCGGGGAAGTGTCATTTTCCATCTTGGTAATGAATTGGGGCTTCCCTGCCCTGTGCGGGGTGCCTGTTCCAGGTTGCCCTATTCCTGTCCTGGAGGCAAGGCCGGGGTGGAGGTGGGGGCCTCCGGGAGGAGTAGGCCCCGCTCCCAACCCAGCCCCGCCCCAACCAGGAGGGAGGCGTGGGGCCTGCTGTGTGACCTTGGGGCACTCACTGCCTGTTTCTGGGCTGCAGCTCACCCCTCTTAACAACAGATGGTGGCCACCAGGTGCAGGACCTTGGGTGGTGGCTTTGGATCTCCCTGGTGGAGCAGGGCAGGCCTGGATGGAAAGGACTGTGGACTCCCTCTAGTTTAAGGGCACCAGGTGCCATGGCAAGTGGCCCAGGTCACCAAAGCTCCCGCCAGCCTGCACCCCACCAGCCCCTTCCCCAGGCTCAGGCCTCACTGCTGTCCCCTTTGGGCAGAACTCATAGCCCTGCAGTCCTGGCAGGAAGGGGCTCAAAACCAGGGGCCACTGCCTATATGGGGTCGGGCCCAGCAGCACCTGGCCACCAGGTAGCAAACAATCCTTACCTGGCATGCAGAAGCCACCAGCTGCATGAATTGCATGTGTCGTGGGTGGGGTAGAGATGAAGACCAAGGGAGCTCCGAGAGGCCCCCATGTGTCCCAGTCTGGGAAGGGGATCTTGGGGGTCAAGACCCAGCTGTCTTGTACGCGACGCTCTCTCTGGGTGCAAGGAGCCCTGGCTGCCTTCCTGGCCACCCCAGAGCCCTTCCAGACCCGCGACCCTCAGCCTTACCTCCTCGCTGCAGCCCTGGAGCCCTCTGGGTCTGACGGGGTGCCGCTCCAGAGGCCGCTGCGGAAGCTGCCCCTCAGGACGCGATGTGTCCGGCTGCGCTCACATTTCTGGCCCGAGGCCCTAGCAGGCCGCACACCACTCGGGGCACAGACCCCAGACGAGGGGTGGTGGGTGGTGCCGGGGCGCCCGGGGTGCGGGTAGGAGATCCTGTGCTTTTGTCTCCTGGTTCAGACAAGGCTGCGAGTCCCAAGCAGCATCTTGGGCGCCTCGGGCCGCAGGTGCTGCTGGCGTCTTGCCCCGGAGTAAGGGGTGTGCGGGCCAGGTGCACAGGGGTGGCCCCTGCAGCCCCGGGACTTCCGAGGGCGGCCTGAGGGTGCTCCGACCCCCTGCTCCCTGGGCATGCCCTCCGGCCTGGCGCCCGGCCCAGGGAGGGTGGCTGTTGCCGCTTCTACCTCCACGGCCCCCTTTCAACTCTTGCCCTTTTGTCTGTAGGCCGCCACCTCTGCTGAAAGGCCTCTGCCTGGCTTTTACCCCCTTTTTGTTTACCAAGGTTTTTTTTTTTTTAATCCCTTTAAGTCACTTGGCAGAATGGGCTTGGTGCGGGGAGCGTTCTTGCGTGACAGAGCTGAGAGGGAGCCACTCTCCAAAGAATTGGTATTCCTGCCACTCAGGCTGCGTCTCCGGAGGGGAGGAGGGGTCCGTTTCCCGCCGAGGAGTTCGGATGCTCACCAAGGGGCTGGGGCCGCTGACATGTGCTGCCGAGCTGTCGGGCCCCACAGGCCCCCCTTCCAGAAGATGCGTGGGGGGCGGGGGGCTCAGTCCTGCTTCGCTGCTCCTGTTTGTAGAGAAGGTTTTCTGGCTGCGGAGGTGGGGAGGATGGGCTGTTCCTGTTTCACTCCCTGGTCTTGTCTGTCCAAAAAGGAGCCCTTCCGTGTGCCCACTCCCTGCTGCTCACCTGCCGAAAACAATGCGAGTGATTAAGCCCAAGGAAATTAGAAGTCCAGGGACCAGCATTCTCCCATCCCTCTGGGTCCTGTTTTCTTGAATGCCACCTTGCCAGGAGCCACAGATGGGGCTGGGACTATTCTCCTCCATCTCCTGCCTCTTTTCAAACCCAGACAGCAAACAGCCGGCCACGCGGAGCTCCTCGCAGCTACCTGGTTTCCCGGGGATGGGAGGACTAGGGAGAGAAGAATGAAGTTTTGCAAGCTCCTGGCCGTGCAGGGCCGCCCGCCCAGCCCAGAGCTGGCTCTGTTTCCCCAGCACCTGCTCCTCCTGCTAAATGTCATTCAGAGGCTCCAACTGGGCCACCGTGGCCTGGGCTTCCAGAACAAGCACTGCTTTTCCCCACCGTGGGAAGCAGGATCGTCAGGGAACCGGGGAAGTTGGGCCTCCATGTCCCTGGCCTCCTTCCTGCACCCACCCCGAGTCCTAGGCTGGGCTCATCCTCCACACCCCAGCCTCCCTCCCCTTCCTTAGAGACCTGGGGGGCAGGGCAGGCTGTTCCCAGAATCCAAAACAAAACCCGAGCCCGGCATCAGCTCTCATTAGCGTGGCATGTGGAAGGCCCACGGTGCCCTGGTGTCCGTATTCCCCCTGCAGGAGCCCCTCTTTGGAAAAGGGCTTTTATTACACATCTGAGAGTGCCAGCTCTGGTTTGAAATCGGATCCAGATGGGCTCAGCTGCATCTGGGCACTTTTCTCTGTAGGGCCGAAGGTGGCTGATTTGAGAAGTGCTTGTTGTCTGGGGCCGTTACAAATAAAAACAAGGATATCTAGGGTGCATGTTTTAATAAGCCCAGCACCTAAACTGGGGGTGGCTCCCCAGGGGCTCCGGCCTGGCAGGGAATGCACGTGGGAAGGGTGTGTGCAGGCCAGGATGGGGTTGACAGGGCAAAGCGGGGAAGAAGGTTTGAGAGCCAGCAAGCCCTATGGGACGTCAGTTCTGACCGGCCAGGGCCTGGCCAATGCTCCTCGAAGGGGTGGGGCTGAACGGGAGGGAAGATGAGGACAGAGTCCCTGCGTGAGGGGTGGCAGCGAGGGCTCAGCACAGCCCTTATTGCTATTACCACCCGCGTGATTTCATCCAATTATAAATTGTAATTTCTCTATGAAAGCAAGAGATGGAAAAAGTCCAGTGAGGTCATCTGCCTCCCTGGCCGGGGCGAGGAAATCGTTTTTCTACCATTGGGGGCGGGGGCGGCTGGGCCTCAGCATTTAGAGAGGATGGCAGCTGTGTCCCGGGAGCCCAGGGGAGCCCGGGAGCGCCTGCCAGCGTGGCCGCTGCCTCCCCATGGCAGAAACCACCCGAGTTCTGCCTTGGAATTGAGAACCGGTAAGAGGGCAGGTTCCTCCCACCGGCATGTCTGTCTCCGACCTTTCCCACAGCTCTCAGGATAAGCTGATGCTCGCATGGTCTCCAAGGCCCCGTAAGGCCTGGCCCCAGCCTGGCCCCACAGCCCTGTCTCCCACCGCTGCTCATTAAGGTCCTGAGCTGGCTCCAGCCTTCCCTGCACTGTCCCGTCCTGTAAGAATCTGCTCACGTCACCTCTCTCTTCCTGCAGCGGTGCCTCTCAGAGTGCGTGGTCCCACAGCCCACGATGGCAACGACATAATATCGGGAAAGGAATTTTCTGGCTTTAAGGGAGGATCCGAGGCTGGATCCCCCAGCGCCAGCTCAGTGCCTTGCACAGTCGGTGCTTAATAAATGCATCCTGTGAACCCCTCACTCTGCTTCCTCATTTAGAAAATCGAGGGTCTGAGTAAGGTGCCCTCAGCTTTGTACATCCTCGGTCTGCCTTCCCTGCTGCACCCCCACCCCCTTCCCTGGGTCCTGCACAGCCTCCTGGGAACCGCCGCGCTGGGACACCGGGCTCCTGGGCGGGCGCCTCCGCCGTGGGTGAGCAGGGCCTCTCGGGCGTCTGGGGTGTGGACTGGTTTCCAAGTGAGCCTGGCTGGCAGTGGTTGGGAGGTGTGAGCTCCCAGGCAGCGCTGTGGCTCTTCCCATGTGTGGGTGCATAATGATGATCATTAGTAGCCACCTGCATTCACTGAACCAAAAGAGGCCCGGGAATAAATATGTAAATGAGGCCGCCTGGCAAACTCCTCCCGCCGGAGCCACAGCGCCCCCAGTGGTCACGCTACTGACTCGCACGAGCGGAGACCACCCAGTGCAAAGTTAGTGGTTGCACTCAGACTTTGTAGACTGTCGGTGGGTCAAGTTAACCAAGGACAAAAGGAATCTGTGGGGTCCCAGGGGATCAGTAACCAAGGGCCCTTCTTTAGGCCCCGGTGACCCACGGGCTCCGGGCACCCGGTCACGGGACAGCCTCCCCTCACCCGCTGCCTCGGCCTCCCCTGTTCCCGTAGGCTCCGGGTCTGGTCTCTGCGTTCGGAACCAAAGAACCATTTTTGGGTCAACATAATAAAACATTCCATTTGTTAGTACTTTGAGATGCTTATACAATTTTAATTTTGTTGTAAGCAACATCACAACTGAATTAAAAGAAATTTGAAAGGGGGAAAAGAAAGCCAAGTGCCCAGTTCCCACATCTCTCACCTCCCTTTGCGTTTGGGCTGGATCTGCCAAACACACACGCCGTTTGCCGTGCACCTTACCCTTTTCCAGTAATTTCTGCTTTGCCATCTCCCCTGAGCCTGGGACAACCAGCACGGCTGGCAGTGCAGGGAGGACCACCTCCATTGTGTAGACTGACAAGGGCAAGAGGGGCTTGTCCAAGGTTATATATACAACCTGCAGAAGAGCCAGGGCCCCAAACTCCAGGCCGGTTTCCTTCTCCCTGCACCATGCCAAGACTCAGTGCAACAGAAATGCACGGTCCACCAAACACTGAGGCCCTGGGTTCTAACACCAAACCAAGAGGTCCTGGGTTCTACTGAGGTTCTCTCATGTACCCTTCCTTCCCTCCCTCCCTCCCTCCCTCCATCCATCCACTCATCTCTCCATTCTTCCCTCCCTCCATTTCTCCATTCACCCATTCATCTCTCTCTCATCCATCTCTCCATCCCGCCTTCCATCCACCTCTTCATCCCTTCATCCCGCCAGCAAACATCCTGAGTTCACTCATGCACTGGGCACTGTTTAGGACATCGGGGATCCAAAGAGCAGCCCCCTGTCCTCCAGGAGCTTGAGGTCCAGCAGCGAGGGCAGTGGCTTGCATAGGCCACAGCGTGAGCCCCAGGTGGGGTGGCAGGGGAGCCAGAGCCCCACCTTGCCCAGCCTGGGGGAGGGGGCAGATCACAGGGGCTTGCTGGGGAAGATGACACTGTGCTATGGTTCTGGGGTCCTCCCATGTTATGACAGTCACATGTGAGCTCAGGGGCAATCCAGGGTGGGGCAGGTGCAGCCAGGTTTCTCCCTTGACCACCGTCTGTCTTCCAGAGCCGCTGTCCACCTTGGGCCCCGTGGGCTTCCACCCGAAGCAGGAGCGGCTCAGCTTTACAGCTCACAGCTACCTTGAACGTCGGTGCTTGCTGATATTAATTCTTATAATAGCAATTAGCCCTCCTGTTTCATTCCAACCTATGGCTCTCAGGGATGGATTTTTATGTGTGTCTCATTAATCAGGTGCTTGGTATGTGCTGCTGGAAACCCAGGTGGGCTTTATGGCTGGTGACTTAGCCAAGTGGCGTTTTAAATGAACACGCCCACCCCCTCCCCGGGCAGAGCTGCCCTGTGGCAAAGAGGGCAGAGTTTAGATCCCCGTAAGGAGGTCAGAGCTGGCAAGAACGAGGAGACTCAGGGCTTTCTTTCATTTTGGACTTCCAGGCTGAGGTCAGCATCTGAATCTGACCTTTTTAGATGAAAAGACTCTTTGTGACTCAAGCCTGGAGTCTGCTCCGTGGCTGCTGACTTCCGCTCCCCAGGACGGCCATCCATAGAGCCTGTCCCTTTCTTTCTTATCGCAGAGAGTGGGTCATCCCTCGCTCGTGCCAGCATGGGCCTGGGGACTGCCACAGCCACGCTCATTTCTCCGCGAGCAGAGGGCTGGGGCCGGGGCCACAGGGCAGAGGGAGCATTGCCATGGTGGGGGCCAGGACTGCTCCTGTAACAGGGTCAGCACAGTAGGGAGTGGGGCAGGGAGAACACTCCAGGTTGAGGGAACAGCATATGCAAAGGCTTGCAGGTGGGAGAGGCAGGTACAGTGGGAAGAGCGGTGTCCCAAGCCCTGAGTCAGTGGAGGCAGTGATCTGAGCTGGAGCAGGCCAGGGGGCTGACCTTGGGGGAGCTCTGAATGCCGTGCGGAGGGGCCTGGTCGTACCGAGGGCAGTGGGGACACAGGGTGCCCCAACAAGGAGAAGCATGACCAGACTTACAATGTAGAAAGTGCACCTGGCTGCAGCATGGAGACCTGGAGGGTGCCAGGGTGCAGAGGAGGGGCCAATGAGAGGCTGGAATGGTGTCCCCAGAACAGGGGCGGGGCCTAGGCTGGGACGGTGAGCAGGGGGGATTGAAGGGAGGGGGCTGATTGGGAGGCCACCCAGGCTCTACTCCCTGAAGACAGGCCTGGGACTCAATGGGTTCACGCAGCCTTCTCCTCACTGGAGGGCAGCGGAGTGCTCCTGGGAGCATTACCAGGGAGCACAATGAAGGGCTGGCCTGCTGTGGGCTCCCGAGCCTGGCCCAGCTCTGGCCCGCAGCCCCCAGGCCTACTGGAGCCGGGGCAGCAGGGAGGCCTCTGGAGGGGCGTGTCTGGAGCCTCCAGCTCCTCCCTCCTGCTCATGAGATGGGCCCCACCCAGCCCCCTTCTCACTCCCCCGGCTTGGCACCAAGCATGGCCCAGCACCGTAGCAGGGTGAGAAGGGGCGGAGGCGAGAGAGCCTGCTTATGTGGTGCGAATCCTTCGAGCCTCCACTCTGCTAATTAAACCATTTCCTGACAAAACCCAGACTTTCAGGGATGGGTGTGTGAGCAAGTGTGCCAGCCAGTCCGTGGGCAGCTGCAGGAGCCCACGCCACCCAGCCAGCGGGTCTGGACCACTGCCGGAGCCCGGCCTCGGAGACGGACCGCTGGGCAAACAGGCCCGAAACACCCAGAGCAGGGGACCCTGGGGGGCCCAAGGGGCCCCTCTTCTGGGACAGTTTCCTCCAGGGAGCAAACTCAGACTTCTACCATGGGACATCGCTCCTTCCTTCTTCCTTCCCTTCCTTCCTTCCCTCCCTGCACGTGTGGGCAGCTCTGGGCAGACGTGGCTGGGAGTGGACTCCCGTGCCCTGTGCTGAGCTGGCAGAGGAGCCCAGCGGGCCAGTCAGGCGTGGGCCATAGCCGCCGGTCCCCACGGCCCCCCGCCTGTCCCGCCAGGCCCACAGACCCCCGTGCTTGCTGTCTAGGGCCTCTGGAGGCCGCATTCTGCCAGGTCAGGGTGCTAGAGAGGCAGGAGGCTCCCAAGTCCTCTACCCCCCACACAATGCAGATGATCGACAGGGGGTGCCTAGAAACAGCCGCCAGGTTAGTGCCATTGTCCCCGGGCACTGGGCAGACGAGTGGGCAGGCGCCTGAAGAGGCCTCATCTGCCTGGAGTGCTCTTGTGCCTTTGGATCTCCATGCAAGCGCAGGACTCCCGTGCCGAGGCACTGCCTGAGCGGTGACAGGGAGGGCCAGCGAGGACAGCTTGCTGAGGGACAGACAGCTGCTCCCAGCCTCTGGGTCTGCAGGTGGCAGTGTGCTTAGGAGCGGGTGGGGACTCTGCAGCCCTCCACAGGCCTGCCCTCTTGCCCTGGGGAGGGCACGGTGGCTGGAGCCCGGCCGCTCACACAGCGACTCTGGGCACAAAAGAGGGGACAGGAGCAGCCCCCTGCCTGCCAGCTCTCAGGAAGGAGGCTGCCCTGCTGGCTGGCCCTACCCAGCAGGCCTTGCTGTAGCGGCCCCTCACCCTTGAGGGTCTGCGTCCAGCCTGGAGGGAGTCAGGGCATGATGCGTCTGGTGCCACCAAGCAAAGGCTGGAACATGGAAACTGGCCTGTTTTTGCCGGCAGAAGAGCGGCTGCTCGGCCCCACCCCGCCGCCAGCCATGCACCCCTCAGCTGGCCCCTCGGCCAGGGCATGTGGTGGGCCTGAGGCAGCCCTGGTCCCCTCCTGGCCGCCTGGCCTGGGTGCTCTCACACAGGTCCCCCGGCAGCCGGGCTGTGGAATGGGCCCCTGCAGTCTCCCCGCCGCAGCGCGAGTGATGTGTGAGCAGCACTTTGCTGGCTGCAGTGCCATGTGGCTCACAGGCTCCCGGGGTGGGAGGTGGGGGGGGCGGTCACAGCTGGAGGGAGAACCCAGGCTCTGCCCAAGGGTGTCACCTCCCATCCCGGCTGCCTCCCACCCCCCCCCCACCACTGCCCAGTCTCAGTGTCCTCCATTCAGGTCCCGACTCCT